AGATATGATATGAACTTGTCAACAGATTACAATCTTTGTCAGACAACCAAACACCACAAAGTAAAATAAAATTAAAAATTAAAAAAAAAAGGTGGAAAAAACACAGGACCTTTTCTTTTTCTCTGAAGCAGCACACTTACTACAGATTTTACTCCAAAAATGAGATTTGATTACCTGTACCTCAAATCATGCTTAGATGAGCAGTGAAAAAACGTTTTAATGCTGCTGTGGGGTTTTTTGGCTTTCAGTTTTGGATTGAACATTTTTAATACTTCTCATCTTGCTTTTAACATTCAGTATTTGGGTGGCTTTATAAATCTGGGGGGGGGGGACGGGTTCAAGGGCAACAGATCCAAATGGAGAAGTCTTTATAAACATAAAAAATCTGTTTAACAAGTTCTTACAAGTTAATCTAGCAAGCTGAATATAAGCAGTCTCATACTTTGGGGGGGGGGGGGCAGTAAATGCCAGTGAGAATAGAGCATTCATAAATAGGCTATACTCAATTTTTCAAGTATATGGCATGTACTTGAAAAATACTTGTAGATGGATTTTTCACATCTACAGAAAAAGGTGAATATCTGCCATGATTGCTGTTTTTAATAACTAGAATCTAATGTAGAGGAGGATTACATCTTTCAATGCCAAATAACAGCAAGGACAAAAGAATGACCTTCACATCCTGCATTTGAATCTCTGCTGGAAAGGAAATGCTTAACTGAATGAACTTTGTTCTGAAACTCAGTAAGGCAGTTCTTAATCCACCTCTTTTCTCCTCCAATCCTGAATCCTTTCAGGAAACAGCCCCCCAGAAGGTAGATTTTTTGTAAAAAAAAAAGAATACCAATGTAATTGTAATATTAAGTAATTCCTGCAGGTTGCCAAAAATGTATGGCACCTTTGACCCTTGCGCTCCTTAACAGCTTCATAAATAGCCTCAGCAAAGAACTGTTGAGTCCCACTTAACCTGACTTACAGACTCCTGCCTCTTGTAAGGACCGTTCTGAGCTTCAACCATGAAGGCCTTTCTCCTCCTCGTTGCCATCTTCCTGTTTTCCCACCAGGCAACTGCAGGTAAGAAAAGAACTAAAATGATCCAGATGGTCTAGGGGACAAATAAATTTGAGACTTACCTGCTTTTCACAATGATTCTAGACATATTTTTATTTCTGGTATTGACCACCGTCAAAGTGTGTTATGGGTGTTTCAACCTTCAAAAGTTAAAAGGGGTGTTCCCACCCCATTTTTCCAACAAGAAGGATATGCCAAGGCTGGTCTCAGGACAAAGATCTGTTTCGTCCTAATGACAAAACAGGGCTGATTTATCAGATGTGCCTGATCCCTTAGAATAAAGTGCTGATATCTCCTCAAAAGTGGGAAAACTTGTATTATTTAGCATTATGGGACCCATGGGAAGGGTTATCTGTAAGTCTTTCTTCAAGATTAAAGGCTGAAGGTACACTCACAAAATTATTATTTATTTTATTTATTATGTTTCCAATGGTATCTCTCTCATGTATGCTGGGAGAAAAAGAATAAGGAAGCAAAAACAAAAACAAGAACAAAAAAACCCAGGCAAACTGATAAGAAAATTGAGAAAATGCATGACATTATTATAGAAGGCAGATATATATAATCCCCCACCTGCCCGACACATTTACTTTAGTTGTTCTACTGTTAAAATAAATTACTACTATCCCATATATGATTTTTTTTAATAAATCTGAAATCTGCCTTCTATTTTCCCCAGTTTTCTCCTCCTATGAAAGGGGCATCTGCTTCTAATTTTTTCTAGGGTGATTCTGAATTTCTTCAGAATCCTCTAGTGCTTCCTGCTCAACCTCTCTCCCAAATTCTCCAGCTTCTCTAGCTGCCCCGACTTTCTGATATAAAAGCTCCATGGGAGAAGCTGGTTCTATCCTCATTTAATGTGAGAAGGTAAAGCAGTTGCAGACCGTACAAGAAACGAGATAGGATGCTTGCATGCATTATAAAAATTAAGATAAGCACATTATCTGTGAGTATTTTACTGAATTTTTTAAAGCAATTTTTTCGCCAAACTGAAGAAAATGGTAAACAACACCGAGAGTTTTTTTTCTGCATCTCATTCTTGCCCCTCTACCTCTACCTTATTTTCCTTATTATGTTCTTTTAAATGCAATGTTTATTCTTTTTGGAATATATCATTGCTTTTTTTTTTTGGTCTGCCAGCTTCTCCCTTCCTCACCATGATATGTCTTTGATTCACAAATAATTTTTCACTCAAAAGATCTGAAATGCTTACAAATGTTTAGCTGCATTTTATCTACATGTATACACTCACTTAGGTAGTGCTGTTCAAATTATAGAGTCTCTTAAAGTTGTAAACACTCCCTCAGGCTACCCAATTTTAAGTTAATGAAATAAATATGTGATCTTCAGCAGTTCCTATATAACCCCCCAATTTTCCATGGCTGAGAATGGGCTTGAAACTAGCTCACACCAGTTTCTAGTAGAGCCTCTAGTAGATCATCTTCATCATAATATTATTATTATTAAGAATATAAACCATGAAAGATATAAGACCTATGAAAAGAATAAAAAAGTAAAATATTACTAATTATAAGTAAACATGGATTCTAACATGGCATTTCCCCCCCCCCCATTTTGTATGTAGGAATTGGCCAAAGTGACCCTGCTAACCTTGCTTGTTTTCAAAGTGGTGGCTCCTGTAAAGTCTCATGTCCATTCCCTTCTGTAGCTTCAGGAGACTGTTTTGGTAGTCTGGTCTGCTGTAAATGGTAAGTCAATATTCCATATCCGACTCTCCTATTCTGCTCTAAGCAAATGCACCAATATCTTTTTCATATATATTTAAGTTTTATTGAAGAAAAATTGTGTACAGGATTAAAAACTACAGAAACATAAAGAGACAATTAGAAAAGAGAAAAAGAGATGAAAAGATAAAAGAAAAAGTGAAAACGGTGAATGTCAAAGAAAGAGAAAGAAAGAAAAAGAGAAATATTTAAAGAAGTAACTTCTGATCTTTGCAGCAGTACAAATGCAATGGTTTCAATTGCCAGGAAACATTTTTAGTTCAAATACTGCCAAAAATGTATCACACTGGATGCTTCTCTTTTCTTTAAGATGAATCTCTGTCTAACATAATGGTGTTCAGGAAGTCCTTAAAAACCTGGCTGTTCTCCCAGGTTGTGGAGTAGGGGGCTATTCAGCCACTATGGGTTATATTTTGTGCAGTGCTTAGAATTAGTGTCTGCACATGTATACATGTAGTCTTTTTTGTTTATTATTGTTTTTAATTCTCTGTAATGCAAGCCACCCAAAATTGCTCTCGAGTTGGGCAGCCTTAAATCTATACCTATAGCTATACCTATAGCTATACCTATTTACATCTACACCAAATCTATTTATTTTCCCTCATCCAGCTTATGAACTTTTCCCCAGTCTCTTGATCCCACAACTGTCTATATATATATA